GCTCTTGGACTTCTCAGATTTGTTCCCGCAAAACCTCCGACGATCGTCCGGACTTCCGTCGAACTCTCGTACTCCCAACGTGATCATAGTCTTGACTCCGGCGCAACTCCTGCTGCATGTCTTACTTCCATCATAGTTAATCCTGCATATGTAAAACAAAACTTCGATCGAGACAATTAATCCTAAGCAATTAACCAAGTTGTCCGGCATGTCATTGGTCCCTCGATGCTTCGTCCGATTATTCGGCGCATCGTCCTCTCCTGTGACCTATTGCCCAATCGGCCAGTTGACTCCATAACTCCGATATCCTTGGCACAATACTTGCTCTTCTTGGCCCAATGCCTGAGTCCACGGCCCGAAGCCTTTTGTCGACACATCGACTGATCCACCGGCCCGACATCCAATCTTCTGACATGTTCCTCCGGCACAACATGATTTTTCTTGCTTTAATTGTCTCATCCTGATCGAAGCATCCTGCATCACTCAAAATGCAGAGTAAAACATAAACACATATCAAGTGGTTTCATCATCAAAATACGAGATTCAACACCGGGGTCCATGTGAAGTTGTTGGACTACCATAGAGCCCGAAAGAAGGGGAGGCACTTGTCGCTTGATTGCGACACGAACCTGCTGAGTACCGCCAACTTCCTGGTGAGGCGCTGCACCTCCTTGATCGAGCAGGGGGATGCATCTCGGTTATGGTGAAATCAAGGAAATTTCCCGAGCTGACCCTAAAGATGCACTTCGCGGGATTTAGGCGCATGTTGAACTGCTTGAGCATTTAGAATATCTCTGCTTGGTCGGCCAGGTGCGTGCTTGCAGTCTTGCTCTTTACGATCATGTCGTCCACATATACTTCTATGTTCCTCCCGAGCTATTTTTTGAACAGCTTATCGACCATTCTCTGGTAGGTCGCCCCAGCGTTCTTTAGGCTGAAAGGCATTACTTTATAGCAATACACTCCTTTGTTGGTAATGAAGGTAGTGTTATCTTGATCTTATGGTGCCATCCGGAGTTGGTTGTAGCCTGAGAATGCGTCCATAAACGTAAGGAGTTCATAGCCTACGGTGGCGTCGACCAATTGGTCTATCCTAGGAAGTGGATAGCAGTCTTTGGGGCATACCCGGTTGAGATCGGTGTAATCAATGCACATCCTCCAGCTTCCATTGGGTTTCTTAACGAGGACTTCATTCGACAGCCACCGAGGGTATTTCACCTCGATAATAAATCCTACCTCTTTAAGGTGGTCGACCTCGTCGTTGATCGCCTTCTACTGGTCGAGAGCGAACTTCCTCGGCCTTTGCTTCACCGGCCTAGCCTCGAGGTCGATGTTGAGCTGGTGCTGAGTCTCCGTAGGGGACCATGCAAACACATCGGCATTTTCCCTCAGGAAGTCAATGAGCTAGAGCTGATTTTCTTCGGGGAGTGCCATCCCGATTTTCACGGTCAAATCGGGTCGGTTCCTTTTCAAGGGCACCTCGGTGGTTTGCTCGGGGGGCTCCACGCGCATTGGCACCACGACTCCTTCTTGGGGATCCAGGACTTGACGAGGGTGTGACCTCTCCGGGGGGATAACCGCTATAAGATAGCATCGCCTTGATTCTCCCGGATCGCTTCGGGATTCCCCGATCCCTGCCGAAGATGGAAACTTAATGGCCCGGTGGTAGGTGGACACCATTGCTTTCAACTTGTTGAGCGTTGGTCGGCCGAGGATGACGTTATAGGTCGAGGCTAGATCGACTACCTTGAAGGTAGTCATTATTGTCTTGGCCCTCGTCTCTTCCCCAATGGTAACAGGAAGGATGGTGGTCCCGAGAGGGGAGATAGAATCCCCCGTGAACCCAGTGAGCGCTGACGCCATGGGGGTGAGGTCCTCCTTGGTCAAGCCAAGCTTCTTAAAGGCATCGAGGTACAACATGTCAGCAGAACTCCCAGTTTCAACCATTACTCTTTTGACCCGAGCATTGGCGATTCGAATGGAGATCACCAAAGCATCATCGTGATGGGAGCGCTCAACCTCTCCGGCTTTGAAAGTGATTTCAGGCTCGAGCTCGGGTTGGGAACGTTTCTCGACCATGCTCTGGGCGTAGGCCTTCCTCGCCGTTGAGCTGCTGCTGCCGGTTGCTGGTCCTCCGGAGATGATGTTGATCTGTCTTTCGACGGGTCCCTTAGGGCATGGAGTCACTTCCCGGGGTTCCTTGAGACAGCGCCCGGGGTGACCTCTTTGGATCAAGTCCTCGATTTGACTCTGGAGGTCACGATAGTCTTCTGTGTCATGGCCATAGTCTCGGTGGAACTTGCAATATTTAGACCGGTCTTTGTGAGTAGCTTTCATGGGGTTGGGCTATCGCAAGAGACCCTTCTCCTTGATTTGGAGGAAGATCTCGGTACGAGATGTATTCAGAGGGAGAGGCGGGGGCCTCGGGAGCAATAACTCTTGTCGGTCGGGTCTCCAGCAGGGTTGCACTGAGGCTGCTGAGGTTGTTCCTCAGGACTATTCAGCCCTTGGCCTCTTTCCGTCCATGCACTTTCCCGCCACTAGAGCTTCGGCGGCAATGTACTGGTTGGCGCGCTGGAGCATCTCGGGGATGGTTGAAGGCGGCTTCTTGATCAATGACCAAAAGAACCTTGATGGCTTCAAACCCATCAACAATGCCTGCATGATCAAAGAAGGATGAACATCCGGGAATCCCCGGATTTCAGTGGCAAAGCATGCCACAAACTAAGAGAGCGACTTGTCTTCATGCTGGGACAACGCGAGCAAGGTGGCCATGGAAGGCTAGGGTCGCACATTGGTGAGGAAATTCTGCTCGAACTCCCTTGCGAGCTAGTCGAAAGACAAGACCGAGGACAAGCGCAGCCCGTTGAACCATGCTCATGCCAGTCCCCTGAAGGTGGTTGGGAATGCTTAGCACATCAGGGCATCAGAGGTACCATAGAGGGTCATCTGAGCCTAGAACGTGACGATGTGCTCTATAGGATTGGAGCTGCCATCGTATGTCTCCAATACCGATAGTCTGAAGTTGAGGGGCACAAGCTTGTCTTGTATTTCCTAAGTAAAGGGGGATCCGCTCGAGCTGCCTTCGCTCGACTCACCCCGCAACTTCTGGAACTCACGTTGGAACTCGTCTAGGTGTTGGTTGACCCGAGACAACTAGATCCTGAACAAGTCATCCGTCGAGTCGGATGATATGTTGTTAGGCTCAGAGCGGGGCAGAGTGATTTGGCAGGGTGTAGGTATGCTCTGCTCGGGCGGACCTCTCAGGTCCATCATCTGCTCTCGAGCTTCCCCCATCCCGACCTGCTCCCTACTTGGCCTTTGTTGTGTTGGGTCGACAGGGGGAGCCGCTAGTTGTATGATCTGGGGGATGAGTGGGGCGATCGTCTACATCATCCCCGCTATTGCCTGTACTTGCTTGGTCAGGCTGAGGAATGCCTCGGGTGACACAACTGAGGGTCCTATGGTAAGTTCGAGGGGTGACAACCCCGGGTCATTGAATAGGCGCCAGCAACGATCTAGCATAGAGGTTGAGATCCTCCCATCTCGGAGGACAGGAAGGGGCTGATCTCCAGGCCCGACCGAAGGGTTGGCAGTTGGTGGTTCTCCCTCGGGAGAGCCCTTGTGAGATGCTCTTACGACATGGCTCTCCTTCTAGCGCTAAAAATATTGATGAACTGATGCATCGTGGCTGATGAGTTAGCACGACCTGGTTCACGGGTCAATGTCGGGAGTCTTCAATCGAGTGGGCTAGTTGCCGAGGTCGTTCATGCCCTCCGGACGGGGTGCTGGCGTCGGAATGTTGAAAGCGCCTCTTTCGATCGGGATGGTCTCACCTTGGGGAGATCCGCTTTCTTGCACAGAAGGCCCCCGTTGAGTTTTTTCTAATTGTGGCCCCTTTGACGAGCAAGTCAGTGGTGGGTTGATCTCTCTCTCTCTCTCTCTCTTTTGCCTTCCTTTGGGTCGGATGCCGGTCAGGGGTTTCTATACTACTGTACGAGAGTCGATCATATGCAGGTTTGGCATGGTGACTGATCCTCAAGAGGTGAGATGGTACGTTTGTGCGGTCGTCGTCCCGTAGCACGTGGAACGGTGCCATGCGGCTCCGTCCCGAGCTTTCCGGGATGGGACGTACCAAGCAATGCCTTGGTACAGATTCTAGCTCGGCGCATGGGGGATGCTCCTCTTGCTGACTTGGCTGTAGTGTGGCATGGCGTTAGTCATGATGTGGCCTGGATCCGAAATATACCTTATCAGCAAGCACGCGGGCAATGACGCTAGCCGTGGGCACCGCTGGTGAGGGCGCTGCTGGCGGCGGGCGGCTAGAGATGGGGAGCCGCATGGTGTGAAACCCTCGCGTGGGAGGGCGGCGTGGGCAACTCCGTGAACGTAGTCGTGCGATGGGAGCGGACACATGCAGGGGCCACTGAGGGGCCGTTGAGTAGTTGACTTTGGTCAACATCCTAATTGATTCGCCCAAATCCGACTCAATATTAAGTCAATTCTCACTGGGGTAAATTCACAAAGAGGATAAAGGAAGTTATTACATAATCCAAGTCAAGTAAAAGAAGTTATTACATAATCCAAGTCGAGCAAGTATATTAGAATGTGATTCTGTTAAATCCATGCCATAAACTCATCAAATCTATTGCTGCATCCAAGTAACTTGATGCGTATCTTGGCCAAGGCAAATTATGTTATATTCCATGTTTCAAGTGACAGATGGACTCATGACGTTTATTGTTGCATCTAACTCTTAAACTTCAAGCTCGTCAATCTTGCAGCGACAACATATATCTCACTGCATGTCCTTTCCTTTTGTTTGATTATGGATTGAGGGATATCCTTTTAGCTTTCTTGTGCTATCACAAAAGCTTCTCACACCAATTAGATTTGCAAGAGTAATCTCACATCTTTAGGCAATCATTTCTTCCATTCTCTCTCTCTCTCTGATATATATATACCCTATGTAAGGTTCATCTGCATCACGGAGACTTAACTACAACACTACAAGAACATTGCTCTTCGTCATTGTAGACTAAAGCATGTGCTCTTCTTCTTTTTCTTCTTCTTCTCATACGATTCCAGCAGCGCTGGCCATCCTCTTAGCCTTGCTTCTCCATTGGTCTCGCGCGCAACTGAGCCCCTCGTTCTACGACATGACATGCCCCGGCTTGTCTGACATCGTCCTCGACGTCGTTCTGCAGGCGCAGATCTCGGACCCCCGGATGCCAGCGAGCCTCATCAGACTCCATTTCCACGACTGCTTCGTGGATGTAAACTTTCCTCCATGGCTCCATATCACCATTTCGACGGCTCCCACATGTGTATAAGCTGTGGTGGTTGATTGGTGTGTGCAGGGGTGCGACGCGTCGGTGTTGTTAGACAACAGTGACACCATCGTGAGCGAGAAGGATGCGGTCCCCAACGCCAACTCCGCTCGGGGCTTCGACGTGATCGACGCCATCAAGAGCGCCGTGGAAGAAACATGCCTTGGAGTTGTCTCCTGCGCTGACATCCTCGCTCTGGCAGCTGAGGCTGCCGTAAGCTTAGTGAGTCATCTCGGTCTCGTTCTTGCTTTCCTACACATTGATAGATGACACTTTCCTGCACCTTCTTCTTGCAATCTAAAAGGAAGAAGAAGAAGATGATGTTGAAGAAAAGAAAATTGATGAAATTATAGAATCGATTAGGGTATTGTAGAGCAAGTTATTTATTGTCGAAGCTGCTCAGAGGTTCGATGGGTCAACCATACCATGTCTTGCATAAAAGAGGCGAAAGAATAAAGAGATGAAGAAATAGTGACCAAAGATACAGATGAAACAACAAAAGATGCGGGTCACGGTATATAGATGTACATATAATATACGAAGAAGCCATAGCAATACCGAGGACTATATTATTTCCCCATGATGAGTTCTAGAATTATATTTAATTTCACACTGTACGCAACTCATATTTTTCTATTGAACACATACCTTTCTGTTTGACCATATTTAATATATATCTCCCAAAAAAAAGTTTTTGAACAGATAATCAATGTGTAACTCTCATTGCTATTCATATTTGATCAGACAACTATCATGTGATGAAAAATAATATATTAATTAAATTTTTATTAAAATTAAGTGTTTCAGTAAATTTTTTTTCATGCCATTTTAAATCTAATGAAATCATAAGCCATTTAAAATCAACAATAATAAGATATTTTGTAATTCTTTTCAAATATAATAGTAGAACAAACATTTTTGTATAGATTCATCTAACATAAATCAATAAATGCTTATAAAATATCAAATAATTATCCACATCGTATGTTTTTATAAATTGTCCACTTATAAATCCTTTTACAATATTTTTAAATAATAAAAACTTATAATTCATATAAATTATAAGTATTTATAAATTTTAAAATAAATAAATATTTATTTTGGAGAATAAGTATTTATTTTCGAAAATGGTAGTTAAATATTTAACTTAAAATGATGTATAACAAAACTGTAATAAGTATCTTTTCTCATGGCCGCGTAAAACTGCAACCTATAAGAGTCTTGAAAACAAAAACACAAACTTGTTACTTGAGTTTTCTTGGAAAGCAGGAAAACGGTGACTTGCATGGAACAAAAACTTGTCACGGTTTCAAAAGGCTTCTCTTCTCATCAGATAATGATGATGATAACACTCATCCGGTGATAATTACCGGTTCTCAATTGTATATAGTAGGATAGTATACTGTTGCTGTCTATGGTGCTGTGTCCTTTTCTTATGATCGACTTAGTTTGTAGTCTTCTTCTTTCTCTCTCATCAATGATAACATACCGTTCATCCCCCATTAAAACGTCATAGTAAGCTTGAAAGAGAAGTATTTCTTCGTGTATCCTTCTTCTTGCGCTCAACAGTCCGGAGGTCCATCATGGGAAGTGCAGCTGGGAAGAAGAGACGGCACCACCGCCAACATATCTGGCGCCAACAACCTCCCCGGACCCGTCGACACCCTCGCCGTCCTGCTGTCCAAATTCGCCGCCGTCGGCCTCGACGACACCGATCTCGTCACCCTATCAGGTAAAGAACCTTGAATACCGTGACATTAATGCCGCTCATCATCCTCAGCAAAGCACCACCGCTACTACCATGATCTCATGTACCCAGGAGCCCACACCTTCGGGCGTGCGCAGTGTAAGTCCTTCGCCGCCCGCCTCTACAACTACAGCGGCACGGAGAGGCCAGACCCGAGCTTGGACTCCGCCTACCTGGCCCTGCTGCAGGATCAATGCCCCGACGGAGAAGACGGGACGAGCCTCAACGATCTCGACCCGACCACCCCCGACGCCTTCGACGGCAACTACTACTTCAACCTTCAGAACGGGCAGGGGCTTCTGCTGTCGGACCAGGAGATCTACGCGGGCGCCGGAACGGCCGCCATTGTCGACGGCTACGCAGGTGACGAGAGCGGCTTCTTTGAGAGCTTTGCTGCGTCGATGATCAACATGGGGAATATTAGTCCACTGGCAGGGAGTGAGGGGGAGGTGAGGCTCAACTGTAGGCAGGTCAACGCAAGCTAAGTTGCTGGGAATTGCAGGTCTCGTCATGGCTGCTCCTCCATGAAGTTCTGTACTGCCTGTTGCGTCCTATGTTTGTTACGAGAGTGCGGAGATGCTTTCATGTTTGAACCAATCTAAACTCTTGATTTAGTTGAATACTATGATCAATTATTTTAAATTGACTGAGGGGAAGACTCGTGACAAAAGAACGAACGCAGTGAATCAATAATAGAACATAAATAAGAAAACTTGATATAAAATCTATGTGGTTGAACACTCCTTGTATGGAGCGGAAATCAAATTATAAGTTTTAATGAGTCAGACAAACCCAATCACAATTTTACTAATATGTCCTCTCAAATCTCAAATAGATCTCGAATTTTTCCATCTCTTCTCTCGAACTCTCTGTATTTACTAGAAAAATTATCATCTAAAAATATATGAAATATTTATAATACTTAATCCATACTTAAACTTATATGAAGTTTATATAATACTTATTTCATACTCTTAACTTTCTATCGTCGAACAACCTTAGTTTTAAGAATTTAAAAATACTTAAAAATCTCAATAAAAGTAAGAAGTTCTTATTTTAACTATTAAATTCTGTTTGTATTAAGGGTGAATTCTTGAAAAAAAAATCCTTTTTTTGGGTTTATCTTAAAAAATGCATGCATTTTTTAAAATTTTTTAACTTTATCTCTTTTTTGCATAATACCTGAAATACCTTCGATCACATTTTTTTTTTCTCTCTTTTTACGTGGATCGATCCATACGACCAATTGGTTTTTTTACACTGTGTTATAGTATTTCTAGCAATACTACGAAAACACCATAACACAGCAAAAAATAATGTTATAGTGCAAAAAATATTGCATACACTATAATATAGTATTTATGTACTATGTTATAGTGTTTTCCTAGTATTACTAAAAACACTATAACATAGTGTAAAAGCTTAGTATTTTTTATAAGTTTATAAAAAATATTATAGTGTTTTTTTGTTAGGATCAAATCTCGAATTTTGATGATGAAACCAATTAATAGTGTTTATCTGATATGTGCTTTGAGTAACGCAGAAAGCTTCAATCAATGAGAGAAAATTAAAGCAGCAAGAATCATGTTGGGTTGGAGATGAACATGTTAAAAGATTGGACGTTGAGCCGGTGGATCGGTCGACGTATCGCAGAATGTTTCGGGCCATGGGTTCGGGCATTGGGCCAAGAAGAGCGAAAATTATGCTAAGAAAATCGAAGTTGTGGAGGTCAACTAGCCGATTGGACAATAGGCCGCAAGAGAGGATGATGCATTGAAGAATCGAACGAGGCATCAATGAACCAATGATATGTCGGATAACATTTGATTTAGCTTTGTAATAATTATCAAAATCAAAGTAGGTTTTAGGCAAAATTAGGTTGGAATTAGGCCAACTCAATTAGGAGCCAATTGGGCCCAAATTTGGGCTATATTAGGCCAAGTAAAAGGCCCAAACAGTGACCCAACAGTTGGAACAATTGGTGGCATAGTCTCCGAGACTATGTCAGAAGGTGGTACCACCAGTATGGGTAGTAGTATCGCCTAGCACAAGCCGTGGTACCGTTAGTACCCCAAAAATCGGGGATAAGACACTTTTAGGCTCCAAGTTTGAATTCACTTGAGGCCTATAAATACCCCTCTCATCCTTGGTTAACACACAAGCACAAAGAACTTAAAAGTGAAAAAATGCTAAGCAATAACTTGAGAGATCCCCTCCTCTGATCTAAAGTTTAGAATTCTATTTAGGGAGGAGTGAGTGCTTATAAAATGTTATCTCCTAAACCCATGAAAGGGAAAAGAAAGGTGTAAAAGGGTAGTTGATCTTCGCCCATTGAAAGAAGATCGTTAGTAGATGCTGGTAGCCTCGATGGAAGAGGAATCGGGAGTGGATGTAGGTCACGACGATCGAACCACTATAAACTCAGTTTGCATTTCTATTTGTACAATTTACCTTTACTACAAACTACTTTACTTGCTTTACTTTCTCATTACATGCTTCTGTATGCTTTCAAAATTAAGCATTTCTGATATCGATTTTTATCGAAACGAAGATTTTTTAAACCGACGTCATTTTTATCCGCTACACTAATTCACACACCCCCACCCCCCACCACCCCCACCCCCCCTCCCCCCTCTTAGTGTCATTCTTTATCCTAATAGTTAGTATCAAAGCCACGTTTTTTCTCGTTTGGTTTAACAACCAAGAGAAATGACTCTTTTCGGCTTTCAAGAGGTCACTCTATCATTCGTCCTCCTATGTTCAATGGGACGGACTACACTTATTGAAAAACTCGGAAGAAAGTTTTCTTGCTTTCATTGAATCTCGATTTATAGAATATTATCGAAAAAGGATTTCAAAAGTCTTCTATTCCAATAAACGATTGGAATGATTTGGAGAAGACTATCTCTTTAAATACCAATGTTATGAATGCTTTATTTTGTGCTTTGAATAAAACTGAATTTAATCGAGTTTTTATTTGCGAAATAACTTTTGACATTTTGTATACACTTAAAATCACTCAAGAAGGCACTAGTAAAGTTAAAGATTCGAAAATTAATTTTTTAATATATGATTTTGAATTGTTTCGGATGGAACCAAGTAAGACTATTGGAGACATGTGTTAGGATCAAGAGAACTACGAGGGGGGGAGGGTGAATTAGTGCAGCGGAAAACTTTTATTGGTTTAAAACAATGTTTGTACGATGAAAGCATTTTCGATGAAAACCATTTCGAAAGTTCTCCAACTTAAGATCAAACAAAAGTATAGTTGAAGTAAAGCAACAGAGGTAGTTTGCAGTTAAGATAGAGAGTAGAATGTAAATGCAAACCGAGATTTAGAGTGGTTCGGTCAATCTTGACCTACATCCACTTTTGGCTTCCTCCTCCGATGAGGTCACTGACGTCCACTAGAGGCCTTCCTTCAATAGACAAAAGCCAACTACCCTTTTATAGCTTTACTCCTTTTGATGGGCTTGGAGATAACCCTTACAGATTTCCACTCCTCTATTGAATGATCGAAATTTAGAAGAAAATAGGGAGAAGAACTTCTAGCCTTTTACAACACTTTTAAGCTCTTAAATTCTCAGAATAAATGCAAGCTTTCAGTGCCCTTTCATGCAAGAAATGGTGGGGTTTATATAGGCCCCAACTGGTTTAAATTTGGAGCTCAAAAGTGTCATCTCCCAGATTTTCGGGGTCCTGGCGGTACCACCGCCAAAACTGGGCGGTACTGCCGCTTGACACTACTCGGAGATCGAGCTCAGGCGGTACCACTGCCTGACTTCGCTCGAAGACTGAGCTCAGGAAGTACCACCGCTTGACAGGGGTGGTACCACCGCTTGACTTCGCTCAGAGAATGAGCTTCTGGGCGGTGCCACCGCCGGCCCTAGCGGTGCCACCACCGACTAGGAAATCCGGGTCCGAATGGGCTGATCCATTTGGCCCAATTTGGGTCTATCAAGGGCCCAATTGGTCCCAAATTAAGTTAATGGGATCACTTCCCATTCCTAACTTAATCTTCATGCGAACTACGATATTTAAGGCATTAATACTGTAACTCGTGTTCCAGTGCGTCAATCGCTTCTTCCGACGAGCTTCCAGCGAACTTCCAGCGAACATCCAATGAACCCTCGGTGATGCTCCGACGGACTTCCGGCAAACTCCTGGACTTGCGACAATCCTCTTGGCAAGTTGTGACGAGCTTCTTTGGCAAGCTCCTGGACTTCTCAGATTTTTTCTTGCAGAACCTTCGACGATCGTCCGGACTTTCGTCGAACTCTCGAACCCTCAACGTGATCTTGGTCATGACTCTGGCGTAACACCTGCTGCATGTCTTACTGCCATCATAGTTAATCATGCACACTTATCTCAACATATGGATTAGATAACCAAATGACAATTGACTTCATCATCAAAATCCGAGATTCAACAATCTCCCCCTTTTTGATGATGACAATCAATTGATGACGGAGTTAACATTAACTCCCCCTATCTATATGCCATACTTAAGATAAGTGGTAGTCATAGGTGCCCAACAAGCCAATCACGTGAGTGATGGCACGTGTGACTTGATACATAATCTTTTTGCCTATTATATTTTGGCATATATCACTTTATAACTATTGCATATATGCAT